ATGGCGCAGAGCGTGGCTTCCTCCATGAGCGCGATCCGCTCCATGAGCGCGGCCACCGCGTCTTCCGACGTCTGCATGTCCATCTTGCACATGGCGCACGCTCCGTCGCGACGAGGATTTTCGTACGTGCAGTGGGGGCAGCGGTGCACCTCGGCGGGCACCGCGGCGACTGGCTGCGGCAGCTGAAGAAGCGCGCGCCCGTCCATTGTCGTCAAGTCCGCAGGTGTCTCGCCGTTCTACACTCGCACCTTGAATTCGTCTCCCGCCCCTGACCTCGTACCTTGTTGAGCAGCGATGGATCGGCGCCTGCACGCATCAAGATGGAGAGAACTTGCAAATGGTTGTGCTTGGCCGCTTCGTGTAACGCTGTCATGCCATCCTACAGTATCAACGACGTCCTTAGCCGCTACGACAAGAAGCATGCATAGGCTACGCACCATATTGGCATGGTCGATGCAGATGTTCTTGTAGCGCACTAGGAGGTCTACGAGCTCGACTTGGTCGTGGATGGCGCAGTATGAGAGCAAGCACCAGCCGCGCTACGCCCGTCCATCTTAGGCGAGGTGATGTGGACGCACACCTACCTCGCCAAAGCTAGCGTTGACATCCGAGAGCAGCCGACGCGTCACGCGGCGCTTGACCTCGTGCCATTCGTGGCGCTCTGCGCAAACGCCAACGGGCAGCATGCACATCGTCAAGAATTCGCTCAGTTCGCTGCCGCTTGCGAACGCCAGCGGCTTGTTGCCCTCCTACACGCACGCCGTTGATGGTATATCCATAGCTTCCATGCAGCGGTACGTTGTTGGTCGCGTGGGGGTTGGCACCGGCGTCGATGAGAGCGCGGGCGATCTCAAGGTGGCCGTGCTTGGCGGCCTCATGCAGTGGTGTCATGCCATCCTATGCAAGGCGGCATCAAGAGTCACGAGATATGAGCCTCTAGAAGTGTACGAGGTTGGGCTGGTCCACGCGAATGTGCTTATAGCGTAAAAGCAAGCGCACAACGTCGAGTTGGCCATGCCAGGCGGCGAGTGACAGCGTCGTCCAGTCCAGCTACGCCATGTAAGCACGGAGCATGCCTAGGCGGACATCGTACACCGCCAGCCGTCACGTTGATGTCCTCGACGGCGTGGGCCTCGATGCGCTCGACGACTTCGGTCCATTTGTGGTCTTGCGCCAACTGCGCGATCGTGTTCCCCATGATGGCTTGGCGAAAAATGCGATTGCGTTTTCTATTTTGGATGGAATTTTAGCCAATCAACGAGCGGCATAGCAAGGTCACTTGATATCCGATATACCGGTATTCAGCTGCTTTCTCAAGTCGACATTCTCCAAGGTGAACCTACTGTACCTGTGCTGCAATCGGTTCACAAAACCCAGTGTTGGGGCTGGCAAGCACACGCTTTGGCCAAGTTTTGCTTGGTGTTTCGTATCGGTCCGTTGCCCACGTGGTCTTGGGCCTCTCGTGGCCATGGACCATCTTGACTTTGCGTGTGGCATTTTCATTTCAAGCCACGCTTGTCACCTCCGCGCAGAAAGGGCTGCAAGGACCCTAGACAGTAGTCACAGGGCTCTTTAAAGTCCTCCCTATCAAGCCCTACCAGTTCTGTTGGTTCTGTTGGCGCATACATGTACCTCAGCTGTCGGGGTTGCGCAGGTGCGATGAGCGTTATCGTACAGCGGACCGGCGGATACAGTCTTCAACCAAGAGCAAAGTAGTACTGGGCAACAATCGTCGGTGGCAGCCAGTGGTGTCCAATCATGAGCAACGTCGACGGAAGAAAGGTCAGCGTCTGGAATTTGGACCATCACCCATACCGACCTTGAGTGCTGGTGTCGTTGGATCGCATGGTAGGGCTGCAAATCGAGGTTGAAAGGGTCTTCGGCAGTGATCTCAACGATCCTGTCGCCAGACCGAAGAGCTTCGGGCCACGTGCGCCACCAAGTTTTACAATAAGAACGTGGTGCTGCCGGTGAAAAATCTATGTTGCGGTTGCGTCGCATTAGTCTGTCATGCGCTCAACCGCCTTGTCGGCCATCGCGCGCCAGTTGGTGTGCTGAAGCGTCCACGAGTAGACGCAGAAGGCGGAGAAGACGCCGACGGCGATGCCAATCCAGAGACCTTGAACATCGAGCTCGCAGTAAAAGCCAACGACGCCGGCGACAGGAATGCCGACCACGTAGTAGGCCATCGCATTCACATACGCACCTAGTATCGATGAGAATCCAAGGTGCCCTTTCCGCATAAACGCACCGATGGCTTGGCGACCCATGCCGCGGAGGATGCCTTGGGCGACGCAGTTCATGGCGTCGAGGACCTCAAAGATGACAAAAAAGTACAGCGAGCGCTGCGTTTGCCTAGCAACCCGATCAGCTGAATATGAAATTGGATGCGACGAGGCGTACGCGATGGAGCTCGGGTCGTTGATGAAAAAGGCGGGAAGGACGTTGTGGGTGGCAAGGAAGAACGTCGCGACCAACATGGCAGCGGCCAACGACACGCAGTACGCGGCCTTGCCGATCGCCTTGGCGCGCTGCGGCTCATAGGCGCCGAGCGCGTTGCCAACTCGGATTGTCGTGGCGACCGAGATGCCGAGAAAGAGACTGTACGCCATGGCCGATAGGTTAATCAAGACCTACCACCGTCTCAGATCAAGATTGTGTTGATAGTCGCATAATTTACCGAGTGCACACTGATGGAGAGGACGGGGTTGGGCATCCAGCCAGCCATGAGCGCCAGCATCTCGAACGCCCACCACTCCATAAGCATCATGAGCATGCCTACGTGTCACCATTCATGTGATGAATATGTTTTGAGTTTCAAAAAGGAGGTCGTACCCGGCACACCAAACGTGACAAACTCGTACACGTGGGCAAAGGCTTCGCCCCACTGCGACGACATGGTGTGCTCGTCCGGCCACCACGTCGTGTACACCGGGTTCCAGAGCAAGTACGGCAGCACCATGAGCGGCATGCAAAAGTTGCTCACCAAGCGCGCATACGCCGCGCCAATAAACCCTACGTGGTCTCATGAGAAATGCCAAGCAAGCAATAAGAACTGTACCGAGGCTCGTGTGGTAGCAGAGGTAGTACCCGACTGCGATGTAGATAAAGTTGCTCGCGACCGCAATGTACGCCATGGGCGCGACAATGTGCTGGGCCTGCAGCACCTTCTTGAGGAGCTCGTACAAGAAGAGGCTCGGGAGGCAAAACACAGTCACGCGCGAAAACTCGCCAGCCAGCGACGCCACCATCGCATCTTGGCCGAGGAGGTTGAGGAAGTACGTCGTGTTGTAGTTCATGAGCACCATCGGAATGTACGCGAGCCTAGAATGCACGAGGTTCAACAAGCCGTGTGGACGGACAGGCACTTTACGAGAGGACAATCATGCCACTTTGGAGGTACACGCCGAGCATGTAGATCTTGCCAGCACCGACCGACTGCGAGCAGAGCGTGTCCATGGCCGACGCGAGGCCAAAGCCGATCGACAAGCCAGAGACGTTGAGAAAGACAGTCGAGAGCGCTGCCGCATCCACAAACTCCTTCGTGTACGCCGAGTTGAGGTGACCAACAAGCGCGACCGAGAGGAAGCCGGGCAGGAACTCCATTGCAAAGGTCGCGACCTACATGCATGCTATGAATGAGCGCCAAGATGATGAATGTCGCCTACCAATGGATAGGCGAGCTGCACGAGCGAGACGATCTCGGCGCGCGTGCTCGTCGGCGTCTCGATGGCCTTCTCGAGGTCGGCGGGCGGCGGGGCGTACGCAGGCGACGCATCCGTCGGGAGCAAGCTCTGGGCCTCGTCGCTCATGGTGGAATTGGAGAGTGACAAATATGAGCTCGGGTCCTTTCCAATCTGTTGTTCGGGCGCTTCGAATTTAAATAATAATTTATTGTGTGGAAACGGTTGTTTGTAGAAAGAATTGAATATTTGCATTATAATCCCATGCATACCAGGGACAGTGGTTTAAAAATTGGACCAATCAGCGCGCAGAATTTTGGGTATCGCAAGCCGCCAGATCCAAGCGAGTTCCATTGGCGCCAGTCCATCGCGGGCATGGGTGATGATGAGTGCTCGAATGATGATCGCTTCGGACATCTTCGCTGTGAGGTCTCGCCACGCAGAGATCAGCGACGAAGCATTCGATTGGAATTGGTGGCTGGCAACACACCCAGCGGATACCATGACGTGGCGCGGGCAACGAGCCGTAATCACATGCGCGCGTTCGACTGAGAAGGTGTACAACAAGTAGTACTCATGCATGGATATTAACTGGGGCCGTTCGAGGAATCTATTGGGGTCCTAACGCTCCTTGTTCGTCGGCGTTGACACTGATGGTCGGACGAGCCCGTGCTGTTGCCGTCGACGTGCTCGCTGTTCCAAGCGGGTCGTCCACGTACAGTGTGCTTCTCCCACTCACTTGGTACATTGAGTCACGCAAGGTCGCAACACACGACGACTGCAAGAGAGTATACCGTGCGGCTCGCACTTCGTATCCTGTGCTCGTATAGCGGGTTACGTTATGTGCTAACCTGGTGGTTCGCGACACCTTTATGACATTAAGCATTATTGTACGTTGCGTTTGTAGCAATTTTCCATTTGGTGATTCGCTTGGAAAGCCAAAAGGAAGAAACGACATGCTCACTTCTCGGATGTCTCGCCCGCCATGCGATCAAATGTACGCCTAGCAACCGCGCGCCAGTCTGTGCCCCACAAGATCCATGAAAATATGCAGTAGGCTGCAAGCGGGCCAAACGTTATACCAGCCCAGAGACCCAAGACATTGCCTTCGAAGTAGAAGCCAAAGAGAGCCGCCATGGGGATCCCCACGCCGTAGTACGCAGCCGCGTTCACGTACGCACCTAGATGTGGATGAGATCATGGTACACAAATGCAGGAAAGAACGCACCAATGGATTGACGACCCATGCCTCGCAGAATGCCTTGGACAACGCAGTTCATGCCGTCGACGAACTCAAAGAGCGCCAGGAAGTACAACGCGCGCTGCGTCTTTCTACACGTATATGCCGCGTTGTGAGGACAAGTTGTCCACATTGGACACTACGTGATGGAGTCGTGGTCCTTGATAAAAAGAGCGGGGAGCACGTTGTGTGTCAGGACGAACAAACCCGCAACAAAGATTGCGGCGACGAACGAAATGCGTTGGGCCAAATTGCTAATGGCATGCGCACGCATGGGCTCGTTGGCGCCAAGAGCAAGGCCGATGCGAATCGTCGTCGCCTCCGAGATGCCAAAGTAGACGCTGTAAACCAGCACAGTAATCGTCACGAGAACCTATGACAGCATGCGATGGCCGTCATGTTACGGGCCCCAAAATGTCTAGGGGTACCGAGTGAACGCTGAGCGAGAGCACAGGGAACGGCAGCCATCCCGCCATGAAGGCAAGAATCTCAAATGCCCACCAATCCATGAGAATCATGAGCATGCCTAAAACGAAGGACTTGTCGAAAAAACAAATGTGAAGATTGAAGGTTGTACCTGGAACACCAAGTGCAATGAATTCGGGAACGTGGGCGACTGCGTCACGCCACTGACTTGCCGCCGACGTGTCTGTGGGCCACCATGATTTGTACACGGGGTGCCACGCCAAGTAGAGAAGTGCGAAGATCGGCATTGAAGCACTGCACGCGACGCGAGCATAAGCGGCGCCGAGGAATCCTAATACAGCAACCACCCGTCGATGATGCGAATGATGACGCTACATACATACCAATGTCGGTGAAGTAGCAAAGGTAATAGCCGACAGCGACAAAGACGGTGTTGCCGAGGACCGCAATGTAGACCATGGGCGACACGATTTCCTGAGCCTGGAGCACCTTCTTGAGAAGCTCATAGACAAAGATGAGTGGCAGCGAGAAGATGGTGATGCAGGAAAAGTCGCCCGCGAGCGTCGCGACCATTGGATCTTGCCCCAAGGCTTCGAGAAAGTACGTCGTGTGCCAATTCAGCACCAGCATCGGCACATACGCCAGCCTACAGAGACGTCCGTTGGAGACATCGTAGTATCCATTTCGTACAAGAGAGCAACGAAGCCGCTCTGGAGGTACATGCCGAGAAGATGCTCCTTGCCGGCACCGACGCACTGCGAGCAGAGCGTATCCATGGCTGTTGCGAGGCCGACGCCGATCGAGAGGCCGCAGACGTTGAAGAAGACAGTCGACATGGTGGCTGCGTCCACAAACTCCTTGGTGTGCGGCGAGTTGATGTGTCCCACGAGCACGACGGAGAGGAAACCTGGCAAGATCTCGAGCAAAAAGGTCGCAAACTATTGGATCCCAGGTCAATCAATGGATGATGCCGACGTGTGGTGTTGTACCATAGGGCCTGCCAAGTGGAGGAGAGCGATAATCTCAGCACGCGGATTGATCGGCGTCTCGAGGGTCATAGCTGCCTCGACGTCGCTGTCGGTCGGCGCGCGGGGTGATAGCAAGGATGTCGCTTCGCTTGGCATGGTCAAAATTGCAAGTGACAACTCCCAACGTTTTTCTCCCAGTGGGTGAGTTTTTAAAGAATCTTGTTGTACTGGATCGTTGTATGGAATACAATTCCGCATTTGGAACATGTGCTGGGAAACACACTGGTTGGCTCGTACAGTGGATGCTTGGATTGGATTATGGGCATGGGCATGAGTGATGATGGGCCGCAAATACGGTTGACCGCAATCGAGCCACTAACGTTAGCAGCGACGTGGCACAGGAGGCGAATATTCCGTTGGCAGCCAGCTGACTTGAGTAGCCATAGTGCATGGAAACGTTTACGATGGCCTTTAGCAGCCGAGAGGACATGCAATGCGTGCATTGTGTGATCGACAACGTCGCAGACACTACTGCAATCGCTCTGCGTAGCTCCTGGTGTGTGGACTCGGAGTCACAGTATGTGGCCGAGTATTAAGGCGAGTCGATGAGGGCGACACAAACAAAAGCTGCACAGTGTGCCCGCTACGAGGCGTTGAGAGTCTTGCGGTCGCTGGCTCCATGGCCGTTCCATGCAAGGGTTCACTGCGAGGTCATGGAGATCTGTGGTCCTTGAATTTTGTTTTATCGCGCGTCGAGCGAATGCCTTTCAACACACCAAGGGAGAGCGTCGGCCGCACACCGTGGTCATCCCGCCTGCATACCTTTGGTTTTGGCCCACACCTCGACATGGCGGTGGCGAGACTTGCAAGGTGTTTTTATAACGACAGGTTTGAACTGTCCTGGTATCATGCATCTATGGACAGGCGGCGCCCCGTTCTTATCGCCGCGCAAAGTACTTTTTGGCATACGACATGCTGTTGTGGTCCGTGTTGGCGCCGTTGGTCTTGCTGCTGGTGTTGTAGCTGCTGCTGGTACTGTCGCGTTTCCGCTTTTGGTTGCGCTTCGGGGTCGGTGGCGACGCTTCCACCTCGACAAACCTAGGGCAGACGATGCTATATCGCCAGACGTATCGGCAGCGTACCGCTGATGCCGGCTGCGCTGCTTGAGCGGGCACTTGGCCGCAATGTGCCCCACCTCACCACACTCGTAGCACGTCACGTCGGATGTCCGTTTGCTGTTGTAGTTGTTCGACGACGCTGGCTGGCGGTACGACGACGCACTGTACTCGCGCCGCGAGTCGTAGTTTTCATCGCACTCTTCAAAGAAGTGGGCTCCCGCGCACTTGGGGCAGTAGATGCGGCGGTTGGTCGGGCGCGGGAAAGGCACGCAGTGCTACTTTACACACTGAGTTCCGGAAACGTCTGAAACGAGGATGGTACCAAGTGGCCGGGCTCAAAGCACACCATGCAGCTCACATCCTTGTAGTCGTCGTTGCCGACCATGCATGTCTCGGTGTAGTGGTCGCGACCACACTTGCGGCAGTAGTTGATGTCTTGGCGCCGGCTCGAGCAGTTCTACAAACGATCATATGTGAGCGACAAGACAAGCAGGATCGGCGGCTCTTACGCGGGATTCGTGGCCGGGTTGGTTGCAGCGGTAGCAAAGGACGGCGGGACATGTGCCTGCCTGGTGGTCACGATACCCGCACAGGAAGCACGGCCGCATGACCATTTGGTTGACGCAGTCTCTCGACATGTGGCCGATTTCGTTGCAATTGAAGCACTTGGTCGCGAGGTCCTTCTTGAAGTACCGGCTCTCGCGCCGGGGTTTAATGAGCTTATCGTCGTCGAGCTTGGCCTTCTTGCCGGGGCGCTCCTTTGTTGCTTCTATCGAGGCCACCGGACGACCAATGCGCAGCGCGTCAACGTCGGGCTCGCCGTCGGAGACTGCGTCCACGTCGCTCGACTCGTCGTCTGCAACGTCCGTTGCACCACGGAAACGCGTCGTAAAGTCCGAGAGGATGAAGTCATTCATGGGCTCCAGCTCTGGCTCCTCAATGATCGGCGCCACCGAGCGCGGTTGCAGGAAGCGGCTCGCCCACTTTGAGAGCTGGATCGTTGGCTTCGTGGTCATCTTGCTTGGCAGCGGCTCGTCATTGTCTTCCGATAGATCCGAGAGGTCGATGGCATTGCCACGGCCTTTACCACGAGCGGTGGCGACGTTTGGCAGCGGCTCGTCCGTGAGCTCCGAGTCCGATGCTTCGGCCACCTGTTGCTTGCGCGGGATCTTGATACCGAGGTCATGCTTGCGGTGGGCCTTTGGGTTGGACATGTCAATGCACTCGCCTTCCTCTTCCTCGCTCGACGATTGCTGCGCCACGAGGTACTCGTCTTCGTCCGAGACGTCCGAGACCGACAACCGGCGCGTCCTGCTGCTCATGCTCGTCCGAACCAATGAAACACCTCAAGAGAGTCGTTGAAACCTCTATATTTCAATACATAATGTATTTAATATCGGAGGTGTAAAAGCCCGCCAAATTCAGCGCTGCATCACAGACGCGATTTTCCGATACGTTCTGACTCGACACGATCACGACCCTTTACCACGTGAATGCAGTGGTGACGGCTTTTCCATCCTGCTTATAGACATGGATCACCTGCTAGCAACTCGCAGTTCGAAGCGTCGATGGTGCAGGAAAGATCGTCATTTCCGAGATTGCTGGCATTGATTTCGTTATTAGCTCTTCTGCGTTGAATGAGAAGATTCTCGCAGCAAGCTCATCATGAACATTCCACGATTAGTACATGCAGTAGACATCATATCTCAGTAGATAAAGAGCCGTGGTTGCTGGCGGTGGTCATTCTTGCTTTTGATTGCTCGAGGTTGACGAATGGTCACGGGACACAGCAGCCCGGGACTAGCATCCGCTCACAATACATAAGGGAGTAAAAAATATAACTTGGTCATATCGTCTGCTAGTATTCATGCATACTAGCTTAGTGTTTAATGTAGCTTGGCAGTTTGTATGTACGGGTTCAAATCGTTCAAATCTGGTAGTGGAGGGAACAAGCGACACGCATTCGTCCGTCATCGAGAAACTCTGGTATATGTCGATGTTGATATCCGAGGCAAAGCCGTACGCTTTGCAGCCTCAGCGTACGAAAACGCTGGAGAGGAGTCAGGGGTACACCCAGGGGTACACCTGAGAGGAGAGCTGGTTCAAAAACCTCTTAGAATGCATACTCCGAATGATAAAAAGATAAAACTGCCGCCAAAATGATGCCCGGTATTAATTTTCGATTCATTTGCAGGACCACAGGACGCGGCTAGATGGGTATCAAAGGTCTCATGAAGCTCCTTACGGACGAGGCGCCGAGCTGCGTCAAGGAGATGCAGATGTCACAGCTGTCAGGGCGCAGCGTGGCCATCGATGCGAGCATGGCGCTCTACCAGTTCCTCATCGCTGTGCGCAGCACCGGCGACGGCGGCGGCGCGGCGCAGCTCACCAACGAAGCCGGCGAGGTCACGTCGCACATCCAGGGCATGTTCAACCGTACAATTCGCCTCATGGAGAACGGTGTCAAGCCCGTGTACGTCTTTGACGGAAAGCCGCCCGTTATGAAGAGCGGTGAGCTCGCCAAGCGCACGGAGCGGCGCCAAGAGGCCCAAGGTACGTCTTGTCGCGTTTAGTGGCACGAATCTCATACATGGATAGCAAACTTGAAGACGGCCACAGAAGAAGGCAACCAAGATGACATTGACAAGTTCACGAAGCGCCTCGTCCGTGCCACGCCGCAACACAGCGAAGACTGCAAGGAGCTCCTCGGGTACGTCGATCAGACGCATCTACTGTTGATGACCCATGGTGCATTTTCTGGCTTGGTAGACTCATGGGCGTTCCGTTCATCACGGCGCCGTGCGAGGCCGAGGCCACGTGCGCGGCCCTCGCCAAGGCGAAAAAGGTGTTTGCCGCCGGTACGGAGGATATGGACGTCGTCACGTTCGGTACGCCCGTGCTCTTTCGCCGCTTGACGATCGCCGCGAGCCGGAAGCTCCCGATCTTGGAGATCCGGCTCGAGAAAGTCCTTGAGGAGCTCAACTTGACGTACGAGCAGGTATCCCAACGCCCAACGTTCCATTCCTTCCTCACGCGAATGCATCTAGTTTGTCGATCTCTGCATTCTCTGTGGCTGCGACTACTGCGACACGATCTTTGGTATTGGCCCCAAGAAGGCGCTGAACGCGATCAAGGAACACAAGACGATCGAAAACTTCATCGCGCACCTCGAGAAGCACCCGAGCAAGGGCGTGCGTACTCTAAAACCTCTCCGAACGCATGCCTCATTCGTGTGTGTAGGTGACGGTGCCGCAGGACTGGCTTGGCGAAGACGCCATCTACAAGCAGGCGCGCGGTATGTTTATCGAAGCCGAGGTGGCCGACGTGTCGGAGATCGACTTCAAGTGGAAGGATCCCAACGTCGATGAGCTTCGTGCGTTCCTTGTCGAGAAGCACGGCTTCAACGCTGAGCGCGTCCTCAACGGCATTGAGAAGCTCAAGAAGGCCAAGACGTCGCACTCGCAGCAGCGCCTCGAGAGCTTCTTCACGGTGCTGCCGTCGGCCGGCGCCAAGCGGAAAACGGTCGACGACAAGAAGGGCAAGGGCAAGGCGGCGCCGGCCAAAGGTGCGCCGTCCAAGCGCGGCCGCAAAAAGTAGAGCCTATGTAACTTCTCTACCTGCGTCTGATGCATTCCATGCCACCACGACTGCACCTCCTCTTGGGCAAGCCATCGCAGCGGACGAGTCGCGCTACGCGGGGGCATCCAACGTACTTGGTCAGCTGATAAAACGCGCGGTACTCACGTCCCTCACAGAGTCCCCGAGATTCATCGGCGGCCTGTCGATGCAGCGTCGGCTCGGATGTTGCATCGTTGAGGCCAGCCCTTGGGTGGCATGGCATGGCAATGGAGTGGTCGGATTTGGAAAGCTGCTGGAAATATGCATAACAACACCTGCTTTTACCCTAATCAGGTCATTGATGCCTTTTTCTAGCACAAAACGAGGCAAATGTCCGGATTCAAGCACGAGATCAGGTCATGCGACATGCAGCCACACGCCCAAGCCTTCAAAGCAGAAGGTTTGGCGGTCTGTGAATTGACACGCATGGTCCCACAGGGTCAGGGTTGAATCTGAGCTGGCAGACCCAAGCGAGTCTCTCGGGTCTATCGGTTAAGTGCATGTAATGGCTAGGATCAGTGTACTCATATATGTGTTCGAATTAGGCGTAACCATACGAATGGAGCACGTGCTGAAGGGAACTAAGAGCCCTGGCAGCGCTTCGTTCGCGAGCAAATTCGACGAAGCCGACTGGATCGTCCTGCGTATGGCCGCAAATTCCGGCTTGCATACAAACATCGAATGATGCCACGTCGTCGTCTGCGCCATGCGGTACGCTCCAGCCGTTTTGAATCCCACCCTCTTTGTGGCTTGGCTACGCTTTCTGTGGCGTTCCGTAGCAGTCGTCGAGGATGCATGTGGCATTTGCAGCGAATCTCGCTCGCGCGTAATGGCTGGCGGCCATCCAACTTCGTCCGGGGCGTGCACTCACTTTTCAACTTTCCGAGTACGAGCAACTCATTAGCATGTCCAAGACGGCCCTCATGGCGATGACGCTGGTGCAAACGGCGGTCGCGATCGACTACCTCGGCGGCTGGATCGAGCCCGCGCACGAGCAGTGCGTTGACATTTGCAAGAACTCCAAGGCGGCGCCGGGCTGCTTTGGCCCGCCCAGCGATGCGTGCTATCAGAAGCGCCAGCGCCCCGGTGACTTTGACTACCTCCTCTTCGACCAGATCTACCAGCCGCAGTTCTGCCGCGATCTTCTCAACGGCGTCGACTCGACCATCACGCACCAGAACGTCAACAAGTACCCGATCGGCATCAACTGCCACAAGGTCGACGTCAAGAGCGAGCTCATGATCCATGGTCTGTGGCCCAATTACATTAACGGGTACCCGGGCTGCTGCAACGTCTCGGACACGATCGTGAACCGCCCGTTTGACGCGTCCAAGTTTGCGACCAAGTACCCCAAGCTCTTTGCCGAGATGGCGTCGGCGTGGGTCGACCCCGCGATCGGCAACTCGACCGAGCAGCTCTGCCAAGGCTACAACCACGAGTTCCAGAAGCACGGCATCTGCTTTGGCGCGTTCGGCGACGACTACGACCTCGCCTCCAAGCAGTACTTTGAGGCAACCTTGGACGTCAACACGCGTCTCGCCAAGCAGACCAAGCAGATCGCTGACTGGGCCGCGACGCCCGAGAAGACGACGACGATCGCGGACATTGCGGCTTTGTACCCGAAGAAGGTCAACATTTTGTGTTCCAAGGTCGCTACCGAAAGCCCCAACCGCCTTGTCGCCATCCGCACGTGCTTTTCCAAGGTCAAGGACAACTGCGACAGCGACAAGCTCCTCCTCGCGGGCGACTTTATGGACTGCTTTGGCAACGTCACGACGACGTGCGACGCGACCACGCCCATCGACTTGGCCGCGTACGTCAAGCCGTCGCCGTAAGTCAACTGCCATGGCCCTCAACGCCAAGATACACTTTTAAAGTCGACACAACACGTCGGGGATGCTAATAACAACCATACTGAGATCAGGTAGACATTTGACGCTTTCAGGTCGAGCCGCTGGTTAGAAGCACCGTATCGCACATGCAACGTCCCCGAAGAGGCCCGACGATGGCGTTGATGTCCTTTCTGTGTTGCTGAACCGTGCAGCTATCTTTGGTGCGAGCGTTTTCGCGTTGGTTCTCCTCTATTTTGATCGAGCGATGGAAGTCCCAGTAGCCGCGCCCATGGAGGTGCCACCCGCGCCGACGTCTATCGCGGCCCGGCCCATCGCGTCGATCGTGCAGAACGGGTCCATCGACATGCAGAGTCTGATGCTCTCGCTCTGGCAGCGGCGCAAGGACACGGCGTACACAAACGCTGTGTGCGAAGAGCTGCGGTCGCTCAAGCAGACGCGGCCGATGCTCGACCAAGTGGACTTTTACCTGCCGCAGGTACAGCTCTTTTTTGCACGTGGGCGCCAAATAGCAAGCGATGTAGCTGGCGCACATGGTGCTGCACCTCGAGAAGGAGCTGCCGATGGATGCGATGGAGCAGTTTGTGTTGCTCCTAAGCTTGAGCAGCACTCACTTTGCGCTCCAGTTCTTCTGGATCGTTTACGCCGCGCTCGACGAACACCGGCCCAAGCGCAACGGCAACCCGCGCACCTTCACTCGCTGCGCGCAGCTGCTCGTGATCCTTGAGCAGTGCCTCGTGTACGGGTCGCCGGCGAGCAAACCCGCGCAGGTTCGTATCGAGGACGATTCAAGTACATGTTGCAACGACAAGCGATAGGAGCTCTTGGCCCAAAAACACATTTCCAAAATGGAGATGGACGTCATCCTCCAGGCGGACCGGCGCTTCTTTGCCGCTCAAAGCAGCGCAGCCATCTCGACGCAAGACGAGACCGCGGAAGGGTACGACCAATCCTGGCGCCCAAGTCTCATTGCTTGCAGGTGGCTCTTCAAGAAGGGCGGCGGCACGACGACGTTGGGTCGTCGCAGTTGGCACCGCCGCTGGTGCCGCATTGAGCGCAAGATCCTCTTCGTCTACAACCAGCGCATGGACATGCATGCCCGCAACGCGATTCCTCTCGAGCGCGCGACGATCCGAGTGCTCGACAACCCAAAGCACCCGTACTACTTTGAGATCCACCATAGCTACAGTGACACGACCTTCAAGGTGACAGAGAGGACTCTGCGTGTGCTTAGCGTGACGTGTAGTTTGCGGCCAGCGACAAGGACAATTTGTCCTCGTGGGTCGAGAGCCTAAGTGTCGCAGCGGCCCCGCCGGCGCCCCCGTCGTCGTCGCCCACCAAAGCGGGCCCCGCGCGTGCAATCACGCGCATGTCCCAAGCGATGCGGCAGTTTATTCTCAACGACGACGCTGCGTCCAAGGAACACGAAGTGTCGTCGGCCGCGCGCGTTGAAGACGAAGCGGATTCGATCTCGCGGTCCGGGTCGGTCTCGTCGACGCAGTCGTCGTCACAAGTGCCAGCGCTCTCGGAGGAGCAGCAGCAGCGCTACGACTTTTTCACCGACCAAATCAACTTTGTCAAAGCCATCACCGATATATGCGAAGAGCTCCGTCTCGTGGAGGTGTCGGAACGCAAGGGGCTGCTTCCGACAAAGCTCCAGTCCCTCCAAGCGCGCTTGCCAGCGTTCGCGTACCTTCCGCTGTGCCGATCCACCGAGGTACACGCCACGGATTCGGCGCGCTGGATTTGACTTGCACGCAGCTCTTTGCCCGCGTCACCTCTGTGTGCGTCAACGACGGCCACGTCTTCAAGACCCATGTACACACCCCATTTTGAGTGCATCGAAATGATGTTTTAAACGAATAGGAGCGCGCGCCGTGCTTGATGCACTTTCTCGCCGAGCCGAGCGCAGCCCTGCACGATGTTTCGAGTGCGCTCTACGTTCATTTGTACGGGGACGAGGCCGACGCGAGTGACGTCGTCGCCTGCGTCACGGCGCCCCGCGTCGGCCAAAACACATTTCTGGAGCAGCTCCTCGAGGTTGTCAGCGTTCATTCTTTCTGTTGTCTGGATTTCCACAATCGCTGTCCAGGACGACCATCGGCGCGCGCAGCTCACAACAATATTCGGTGAGCTCAAGGAGGCCAAGACGGCGCGACTGGCGTCCGACGGCGCGTGCTTGCAGTCGCTCATCGCCAAGGTGGGTGCTCTTTGGAAAAGATATAGACAGCGAATATGGACGGTAGAGCTATGACGACTTGCGCCAAGAAGTGCTGGTGATGCAGCTCATTTCGTACATTGACGACGTTTTCAAGAAAGCGGCGCTGCCTCTGCGTCTGCACCCCTATCGCATCCTATCGACAGGCGCAAGCACGGGCCTCATCGAGGTCGTGTCCAATGCCACTTCTCTCGACGGACTGAAAAAGTCGACGGGGTTCACGACGCTCCGCGCGCATTTTGAGAGTATTTACGGCGGTTCGACTCCCAATATCTGTTGTCTTGGACTAACAAAGAAATTAGATCCATCCGGCACCCTTTTTCAACACGCGATGACCAACTACATGCAGAGCCTCGGTACGACTTGTATTTTGATAGCTTAGAATCCTATATAACTGGTTCGTAGCGGCCTACTCGATGGTGTGCTACGTGCTCTGCATCAAGGACCGACACAACGGCAACATTCTCCTCGACGTTGAAGGGCACATTGTCCATATCGACTTTGGCTTTTGTACACTGCCTTCCGATGATATGTGATGGCAACACGATTGACATGGTGGTAGTTTTGGGGCGCGCACCCGGTGGCACGTTTAGCTTTGAGACGGCGCCGTTCAAGCTCACGGCCGAGATGGTCGACTGCTTTGGTGGCAAAGACTCTGCGAATTACGCGCATTTTATCGAGCTCTGCACGACGGCGGCGCAAGCGATTCGTCAACACGCCTCCATTCTGTACACGATGGTGGACGTGATGAGCTTCAACTCGAAGCTGCCGTGCTTTCAAAGTAAGGACAAGCACATGTCGCGGACGATATATATTACGTTCGCTAGGCAACGTCCCGCACGTTCTGCAGTCGTTCAAGGACCGGCTCTTCCTCACGACGGCCGAAGACAAGGTCCCGGGCCATGTGCGCAGCCTCGTGGAGAAGGCGTACGCCCATTTTGGCACGACCAAGTACGACCAGTTCCAAGAGTACTCGAACGGGATTTACAAGTAGAAGCTGCATGTCTACCTCTACATATACGACGCTGCATAGTACCAACGACCGACGATTATGGATCACAAGTGTTGGCGTCGTGAGGCTCACTTGGCGCAGAGTTCTTCCGGGCAGGGCGGCCAGAGGCAAGGACGCACCGTTTCTTCGTCTTACGTCAATCCTTCGTGTCGAGACTCACATCAACCATCGATAAAGTCAAATCTAATGCGCAAGATCGGATGCAGCTCTTGTAGCAACGATTTGGCGATGTACTCGAGACACTGCCACAGGAAATATTGTCAAATGAGAGACAATACTAGAACGCTACAAAATAGAGTACGACGATCCACACAAGGCTTGTGAGTGCATCGCGATGGGCACTGGGGCTCGCCGCTGTGGCCAGCAACAGTAGCGAGTCGTCCGCATCCAAGCACGACCCGTTCGCTGCGTCGACGATCTCGACGGGGTACTTTTCGTAAAAGACGGGCTTAGCGGCGCCGTTGTCGTTGAGGAAAAGGAAGGCCGAGCTGCACGTGTTCTCGGCCGCATCGCACGGGGCGTTGGCAAAACCAGTTGGGACGTCCATGGCGATGCACGGCGTCGGCTGGCAGTAGAAGGTCTGCGTCATGGCGCTCTGACACACGTACGCGCCAGTCGAGCACGCCGACCATGTTTGCGACGTCGCCTACGAAACGCTGTCGCTCTCTGCTGCGTGAACGGGGCGCTCCGTACAGGGTTGTTGGGCGAGCACACCGAGCCGCGGTAAACCAGTTGGTTCAATCCGCACGAATCAAAGTTGGCGGGCGCGGCAAGGGTCGCCAGCCGACTGCACACTTTGAATGTCTTGGCTGTCGTAAAGAACGAAGCGCTGACGGGTGGGGAGAGAAACTGCGGAGAAAATGGATTGCAGGCCGCACACATGACGCGCGCGAGGCTCGTCTTGGCCGGGTTCAGCGTCTCGGCACACGATGCGCCTGCAGAGATGACATCGATGGGACCTTAGCACGTCGAAGGCTATACCTGCCGAAATGAGTTGTAAGAATTGAGCGAGGATGGCTTGGTCGTGCGCAGGAAGGCAGCATCGGGCTTGCGTGAACGGGCAAAACGACAGCGGGTACCGTGCTGACGTCTACCGACGCCACGTATTCCGAGGACTGTCATTGGACCACGGGCACTGTACCAAAGCTGCACTCGTTCCACTGGCCAAGCAGGTAGCAGCAGCGTCTGCCGACGCGAGGACAAGATGCACGAGGCCAAGTAGCCGCGCGACGTTCATGGACGTTTCGACGCGCCGGTTTTGAACTGCTGTGAAAAGGGCGGGCTCTCCAAGACCAATTTTCTGGCCGAATACGATCGATTCTGATGAGTTTACAACATTCAACATTGACTCGTTCGGCGCTGGGCTGAACACTCTGACAAGAGCCCAAAACATAGAGCTCGTAGCCTGTCTGTGCAGCTATAATTCGAAGTCTACCCATAGCCTCCGCGCGAAACCATCGACGGCGTCGTCCATCTCGTCGCGTGTCACTCGCGAGTCGGAGGCCGAGTGGCAATGTGGAAAGATCGTAGTACGAGCTTCCGCTGCGCCGCAACATCCCAAAACACAGCGTGACTTGGGTCTTCTCCTCGGTAATGCGCTTGTCGAGATCGAGAAGGCCGTTGACGGCCAAGAACGAATCTCGAGTCGCCACAACGCGATGTGGCCACAGTGCACATGTCAGACTACGCTACAAACAGCCTGACTTGGACCCGCAGCCAATGCTCGCAGAGTGCCTTCCAAGCACCGAGACGGAGCTCAGGATTCTCACATGGGCTCGACTCCTGCCACAGGTCGATCCATACCAATGTGTCTTGCTTCGCACCAAAAATCCTTTGCGTAGGCGCTGTCTTGGAGGCTCATAGCATCCCGTATGTCGTTTGCATCGATGAGACTGCCCACCGCTCGGACAACACGGCTCGAGCTGCTGGTTGGCGTTTTGAAATCAGAGCCTCGGAAACGCCCGGCTGGAAAAGCCACAGGCAACGGAAGTACCATGACCGAGCAGCGACCGCAGTTCTTTACGGTGCTACCGTCGGCGCAGGCCTCCCTACGTGTCACAAACGGCACGCGCTTGCCTGCGGTTGCAGGGCCGACGTCTCCGATGTACATACCATTCACCATTACTCAGCACCAAGAGGACACTCATCTTGTTCTAGGCCAGGGATGACGCGATGGCATCACCGGCGGTCCGCCAAGCAGCTGAGTTCGGCAGCCATGGCGCGGTTTGCCCAAAAACCGCCCAGTACGCGAAAGCGTCGCTCGACGACACTGCCTGCTCCAATTGCGTCGTCGATCGTCGCCGATACGTTTCAAGTGAACGAGAAGCACGTCGTGTTGCCCCTTCCACGCATGCGGCTTGCGTCGCAAGACGCCAATTTCGACTTGCTCATCAAGCCCGTCTCTCTCGCATTAGGTTTTCCAACTTATAGCGTGTGTGCTGTAGATGGCGCCGGCCCACCGTTCAAAGAGCGGGCGATGGACGTGACATTTCTGGAAGACAGTGACGATATCGACGTCGAGGCGCCGACGCCAGAGCCTGACTTGGAGTCGGCACCACCGCTTGGCATCATCTCGCTGTCGCACTTGCTCGCACCGGCACGGTTTGCTGCGCCACCAGCGTGCAACGACATCCTCAAGCGTCGTGATGCGGCCGCTGGAATGAAGCTGCTTGAAATGGACATCGATGACGCCGGTTTGGACGACGCCTTCTTGGATGACAAGCTCATCGAGGCCAAGCTCGCCGAGTTGCAGATGCCACCCCTTTACGGCGACGACGTTGACAAAAGCTTTGTCCTTCGAGTGCTCAACCGGTCGCGCATTCTCAAGAGATACCTCGGTCCGACCACGTTGCAGCGGCAAATGAACGGCGTTCGGCGGCGCGTCTCCTCGGCCGTCGAGTCGTCGCCGGCTGCTGAGACGGGCAACGCTACCAAGATGGGCGATGGCAGAAATCCACGTCCATGGACACCGTCGGACGGCGACGATGACCCTAAGTTGCCGCCACGCAGCGGTGATTTGGACTCGTTTGGGAACCAGCTCGATGACGACTTTGACGAGGACGAGATGACACCCGTCGACGACGATGCCTTCGGCGATGGTGGCTCTGGCCGGCAAACATCCTCCTCAAAACGATCGCGCCGTCGGTCGAGCAACGTCGCCGTCGCCGGTGCTCTCGCCGATGCCGTCACCAGTGTCATGCAGGTGGCGCCAAGCAAGCTCGCCACGGTCCTCGAGCCCAAAGAAATGGATGCGGGCGCCATTTTGGCACTCAACGCCGCGTCGTTGGCATCGCCGGACGGCGATATTGCGCCTGTCTCGATGAGCATTGCGCAAAAGCAGCGCGACAAAGCGGCAGCGCGGACCACGACGTCCAGCGTCGTCGCTGAAATGGATGAGGTTGACTTGACGTCGCCGACGCCGGCCAGTCCCCGTCGCCGCACGGATGTGAAAAAGAGAGCCAAGCCGCCGGGTAGTTCGACCGCCGACTCGGGCGTCGAGTCGTCGGTCGAAGCCATGTACGAAGCTGCACTGCGCGCCGAACGGGCGCGTGAGTGGCGCCAGGCCACACTGCTTGCGTGCGCGTGCATCAACATGGACAAGGAGTTCGTCGAAGCCATCTTCTTGCGGGCGCGGCTCTGTCGACGCCTTGGTCTTTGGTGCGTGTATTGCCTGAAGCAGAGTGCTGAGACATGACCATTGTAGGTCCCAGGCACTCAAAGATCTAACCTCGGTAGGCGCGTCGATCGTGACACAATCAACAATGGCTCGTGGTCCTAGGCGCTGCGCATTTGTCCAAGCAACCATCGACTGCACTTGCAGCGCGCGCATATTCATATTCAGCTTCAAGATTATCACGCTGCAATCAACGACCTCACATCGGTCCTTTCCCAGCACCCGACATCGGCGGAGGCACTCCTCCTCCGGTCGCAGATCTACATGAAGCAAAACAACCTTGCCTTTGCCATCAAGGTGCTTTTGGTATCAATTCTCATTTTAATCGCAACCAATCGCAGGACTTGACGACGATAGTCAAATTTGACCCAAAGAACTGGCGCGCCTACTACGAACGCGGGCGTCTCCGCCACCAGCTCATGGAAGGTCTGGTGCACGAAAAGGACGTTGACACGGAGGGCCAAATGTACACACTGTCGTCTCTCATTTCCGCAACACCAACTTCAAAATGTAGTGTGTCGCCACAACTCATGCTGCATGTGCTCGACGACTACCTCAGCGCCCTCCGTGCTGGCTGCACACTGCCCGAGGTCGTCGAGGCCGTCGGCGACGTGTGTCTCCGCCTCGTCGCCGCCTCGCGGGACGCCAAGCCGCTTTTGCACACGATCCATGCACTCTCGGGTCTGGTCACGCTCATCGACGACGCAGACGCGCGCACCAACCTCCGCGCGCGCGGCGCCAAGTTGCGCGACGGTCCCGTGGGGCTCCTAGCCGTGCTCTTGGCGCAGCGCGGCCGACTCCAGACACTGGTATGCGCTTTCTCATTTTATCGGCTTACAAATAACACGTGGATGACGTGGCAGATTGGAGAGCACGCCAAGGCCGCCACGGATTTAGACCGTGCGGTCGTTCTCGACTACCATTACGCGCCGGCGCACTTTTACCGCGGCGCGCTCGCGAGCTTGTATGCGCACGACGAGGCAGCCCGCAAGGTCGTCGAGACGCACCTCTCGCGCAGCGTGTCGCTGGACCCGACGATCATCGGCGCGTACATCGTGCGCGGCGGCATCTTTGCCTTGGACCTGCGCTACGCGAGCGCGCTCCAAGACTTCAAGGCCGCCGTCTCGATCGACCCGACGCTGGACTCGATCTGGGTTCAAATGGGCGTCATCTTCTTGTCGCACTACCACGACTGCGCCGCCTGCGTGAGCGTGTGTACGACTGCGCTCGCCAACGACCGCGGGCTCACACAAGCGCTCTACTTGCGTGCCGAGTCGTATGCACGGCAAGGCCACTCCGACGCCGCGGTGCCTCAACGTCAAGTGGATTTTTTCTCATGCGCGCTGTGTAGCTACGCGACTATGTGCGCCTGGTTCAGACCAACCCCGCCGATGGGTTTGCGCACCTGCTTCGAGGCAAACTGTTGCTGCAGCTCGGCCACGGTCGCCCGGCCTTGTATGCGTACATGGCGTTCATGGAGCTCTCCGAACGCGGCGTCGATCGCATCTCGCGCGGCATAGCGTACAGCGTCCTCTCGCAACATGCGAAAGCCGTGCACGAGTTCAAGCTGGCGGTCGAGGACCACCCGTCGTCCGAGAACTTGTACTTGCTCTCCGAGGCGCTGCATTCAATGGGCGATACCGAGGCAGCGCTTGAGGTCATCGAGCGCGCGATTGCGACCGAGCCGCAGTGTGCGAGAAACTACCTCCGGCGCGCCCAGTGCTACCTCGGCCGTGGTGCTCTCAAGGTAGTACCAACAACCAGCTGTCATTGTGTCTCGAAACGACTGTCTAGTCGGCCATCATCGAGTACGACTTTGCGCAGACGCTCACGGAGAAGGCCGAGCTGCCACGTGTGTTGTACGAGCGCGCCATGTGCCGCATGCAACTTCTCATCAAGTGCTGGCACCAGCTCGAGTGTCTCCACGCCAAGATGCCCGTCGAGAGCAAAATGGAAAGCAACTTCAAATCCGGGACCCCGGTACCGGAAACCCTCGCGCAGGTCGACATGACAGTTCCCGCGCTCTCGAGCTACATCAAGACTCTCTACAACGAAACACTTGCAGACTTTGCCAAGTGTCTCAAGCTCAGTGCGCCAACGCCGATGGTCGATGCACTCGTCGACCGCGCTGAGCTGCACGCGCTTGGCGGGGACTTCAGCGCCGCGTACGCCGACCTCCGCGCGGCACTTGACGCGCAGCCCGAGAACGTCCGCGCCTACATCAATTGGGGCATTCTCGACAGCCGCCTTGCTCGCCGGGCCTCGAGCATCGTGCAATATGACCTCGTTCGCGCAATCGCAGAGAGAGGAGCGTCGTATCATGCATTTTGAGTAGGCGTTGCAGCACCACCCAGCCGACGCGTTGGCCTACTACAACCGGGGTGTCGCGTACCACCATCTATGTGTCCACGCCCAAGCCGAGACCGACTACACCAAAGCCATCGCGCTGGACCCGACGAATCTCGACGCGGTGCGGAACCGTGGCATTGCGCGCTGCCACTTGTCCGACTTTGCGGGCGGTGGGATTTTCGGTTGGTTTGCATCTTGTTGATGTGTGCACGTGTAGCAACGACGGACTTTGAACAAGTGCATCGCGGTGCACCGGACGACCTCGAGCTCTACCTTGGATTGGGCTACGTCTATCTCAAAACAGGTCGGTTCCAAGATGCGATCGGACTCTTCCGGGCGTCGGCCAGCGTCAACCCGCGGGGTCTCGACGCTTTCTTGGACGCTGGCAATACGTTCTTGACCATGGCGCTCTTCTTGAGCGAGACGTCCAACCCGCTCAACGCACTGCACTCGTCCAACGCCAAGACGGACACGTTCCGGTCGCTTCTGCACCAAGCGCTCCACTGCTACCAGCGCGCCGTGCGACTGGACCCGACGAGCGTCGACTGCCGTCTGAATTTGGCCGCGCTCTTCCGCGCGCTTCGGGACGTGCCCAACGCGGTGCGGCAGTACGCCATGGTGCAGGGCCTCGACCCGCACAACCACGTCTTCCACGAGGAAAACGCCATCATGCTTTCGGAGGCGGGGCAGTACGACGACGCCATTTTGCACTGGAACGACGCGATCCGGCTGACCATCTCGACCAACAACATCATTGAAATGGAGTACACGATCATCGCCAATACGCCGCACATGGAGCGTCGGCCGTCGCATTCGGACGTTGTCGACGACCCGGATGGCAACTACCTGTGTACGCCCACGCTTTGCACTTCGGAAATCGCGTTGAGTGAGCTGTTTAGTGGAACGACTCTTGGCGCAGAAGGCCGAGACGGTCAAGGCGATGGTACAAAGCCGATGGCGCGCGATCGAGTCGCCCGCGGCCGCGACCTCGATCACAGGACTCAAGAAGAAGCTCGCGCTGCAGATCACGGAGCGCGGAAAGGCGTACGAGCGCCTCGGCTTGCTGGACAAGGCGCGCCTGGAGTACCTCTATGCGTCCTACTTTGACCCGTTGGCGTACGCCGTGTACTTTCAAATGGTGCGACTCGTCGAGTTTGGGAATGAAAAATGCTCCAACTTTGTAGGGAACGCTCGCGCTTCGACAACGACGCAGTGCCGATGCGGTTCGGCGCTTTGACCAAGCCATTGCACTGCATCCGAAACTCGGACTCGCGCACTTGAACCTCGCGATGGCACATTTGCAAACGAAAAACGTCGCGGCGGCCAAAACGGCGTTGGACATTGCGGCATCGCTCATGCCCGAGTGCGGTTTTGTGTGGGCGAACCTCGCGTGCGCGCACTTGCAACTCGGCAACGATCGCCAAGGCGCGGTCGACCGGCTGTCGTCAGCGCTCAAGTGCATGCCGACGTTCGCGCCCTTCTATGTCGCCCGCGGTCGCGTGCTCACCAAGCTCAAGCTGCTGCACGATGCGATGGTCGACTTTGCCGCCGCGCTGCAAATGGGGTACAAGGCACCCATGTAGCTAGCTAGCCCTCACAGTCTCTGGGTTTGGCGTGCCTTGTGGAGTAGAATTGGAGTGGGAGGACTAGCTAACGATGACCTTTGTGTCCACTTACTGGCCGCGTGCAGAGATGTGTTGGTCTGTCCCACGTTCGGTGCGTGATGGAAGCCACACATTCAGCAGAAGCGACGAGAGTGTTCGGTGGAACTGCAAATAGCTTCTAGGTTGCGTGCGTCTTGGTTTCCCGCATCATACCCGAGGAGGCAGTGGCGCAATCACCTATGCTAGCCAAGGTTTATGTCCTTGCCTAGGTCCCTCTAAAACACCGTGGGCAAAAGATTCGTGCATAAAATAAGGAGACTACGCTTTGGCGTCCGCGAGAACACGGTGGACGTGAAGGGACGGCTCGTGCGTCTCGAGATACGACGACACGAGACGGCTAATCGAGTCGTAACTCATAAAAATAATGCCTTGACCGGGAATGACGCGGCCGAGACGAGGAATCGTGCCAGCGTAGAAGCCTTTCAAACCTTCAGTTCGAACAATGTGCTTGGCGCAATCCCACGTGCTCGCATACTGAGCACCGTGCAGCCCTTGCATTTTGGTCTTGAGAACATCGAAAGCTACGGTGTCATGAGTTGACGCGTCGCAAGGGGACATGGCAGACGTACGGTTGTTGCCAAAGGTGCTAAAGATACCAGCCGACATACCGCCGACCATGCTCACGGCGGCCAGCTTGGCCTCCGAGAGCTCACTGTACACGACGCCGCGCTGCTCAAGAAAGCCGGGGACGCGCACTTTGTATTCCGAAAACCACATGAATCGGAGACCTTGGTTGCTCGCCTACACAGACCGTCAATACTACGGTACAGGGGGCGTGAATGGCACACCTGCTTCAAGATCGTAGCTGTGAGGCCTTGGTAGAGGCCGCGCGCGCCTTCTTCGGCGAGGATGCGGCGCACGCCGTGGAGCATGCCGGCGTTGGCGTCAATGAGCTTGGTCTTCAGCGTCTCGATCGGTGTTGTGGCCACTGTCGCTTCGATCGAGCCCGCGAGCATGCCTGCGGCAAGGTTCCCGAACGCATTGGTCGTGCCGTTGGCATCGGCAAACTGGCGCTTGAGGTAGTCGTACGCGCCAAAGCGGATGCCTGCCTTGGGCAGCGACCCGACGACGACGGGTAAGAGGCCGCGGTAGAGCGACCCCACGCCGTCCGTTGCAACATGGTACCGGAAGCCGCCGAGCATGTTGGCGTAGTGTGTCTTCATCGTGCCGAGTTGAAGGTTGGTCTTGATCATCTCCATGGGCCACGTCGCGGTCGTCTCGATACCGCCAGCGATGGCGCCGGCCACGACGGCGACCATCGGATTCGTCGACTTGGAGTTCATTTGGATGGGAAAAGCAAGAATGGCCAACTGCAAGCGTCGTCTTCAACGCATACATCCATGCGACGAACCTCGCACCACAAGATCTTCCGCGTGCGTTCAAATGGCCCAATGGCCTTGCGCGGAATATAATCGAAGGCTGCCGTAGCCAATCAGCGCGCGTGATGTCGAAACAAATCGCTCGCGCGGTACGACGCACCCGGATTGGTCCAAATGTGGATACATTCGACCGAAGCGGCCAATGAGACGCTGCCAAGTCCATGTTGCGTTGACTGCAAGATCCACAAGGAAGCGGCGCGATGAGCGAACTGGTGGCCAGCGACTGGGCGCGCCGGGCCGACCTCGCGGCCATCGAGCTCGCGATGCTGCAGCTGGTGGACGGACTCGACCGCTTTGGTGCGTCAACGGCCACGACGCCGCTCACCGCTGCGTACTAGGCGCCGACGCCCGCGACAAGCTCGCTTCGTTGAACCAAAAGCTAGGCGTCCTCGAGCGTAGCGTCAAGTGGGACACGACGCCGCATCTCTTCCGTGGCGTAACGTGGCCATGGCTAGGTACATGGAGCAGAGCCTGCGCGGAGACCCGCCCGTCGCCTACTAGACGCTGCAAGAACACACGAATTTTATGCTTGATATACACTGATACGTTCTGCGCTCATGTCGCGACCGTGCTCTGCATGAAGCGCTTGGCACTCGCGGGTATCCGAAAGAGACGAAAGCCGCTGCGCTCGGCGGCCGTAGGACGCGCCCGCTTCTCCGCCTGCCGCGCCGAGTCGACGAACGGGACCTCGTCGTCGTCGTTGGTCTTGGTTATGTTGTCTTCCAAGACGATATCATCCGTGTGCACGAGACCAGAGAGCAGCTCGCGCTTCATGGCTTCCTCGACGGTCGCGGGTTCTGTGTCTGCGGCGTCGAGTGTCGACTGGTTCCCCGTTTCTCGACGTGGCGTCGTGACAGCCGATGCAGGTCGAATCGGAATCGCATTGTCCTCGAGCGGGTCCGTGCCCATGTCATGCTTCTTTACAGTCGTTGTATGGACGCGTGGCGCTAGAGACGAGGCCACCTTTGCTACCGGTGCTGGGATGGCTTTTGGCGGCGTCATCATCGGGGGTGCTCGGGTGGCAGCGTCCGGCCGTTCCTTGGCGGCTGCCTTCTTCGTGACATCGACGGCATCATCCAACGTGACGGTGTAAATGTCGGCGCTGGACGTCGCCGTCACAAACACAGTGGAGCGCGTCTCATGGGGCGCGATGTCGGCGCTACGAGGACGCGTGTCGCCACCGCAGAGCTTGTCCATCATCGCCCGCAGCTTCTCGAGCCGGCCACGCACGTCACTTTGAGCTTTCTCTACATCGGCCGGCGACAGCATCTTGGTCTGCAGTCCTAGTCCGCCAGAGCTATCCGCAACCATAGCTTTGGACAAGTACTACCCGCGCGCGACGAAGGCCGAGCGATCAACGGTCTGCCTTCGGCAGTGGATGGCCGGCTCGACGCGCTGGACGGACGACTGAGCCCAGGCGTGATTGGACGGCCTGGTGTTGCTGGCCGCGTCGCCAACGCCTCGAGAAGTTTGGTTGGGTTGGGACTCTCGCGGATCTGCTGCGGCTTGAGATCATCAAGAAACTGCAATGTCGGCAAAAAGTCCAGAGCATCGACAAGATATCTACGTCGCATGAGACGACGACCCCGTCGCCCAGATAGACAAACGTGGACGAGAGCGTGCACGGGTTGCCGCGTAGCCACAGGTCTTCCAGCGTCGCGTAGGCTTGGAAGCAGCGGAGGTCCATGATCGAGCGCAGTCGATTGTTGCGCAAGTCCAGCGTCTCCATCTACTCCCATGCTCAATGCTGAAAATAGCAGTCCCAGGAAATGACCTGCGGCGCACGCTCGACGAGGATGCCCACATCTTGGAGCTGGTTGCCCTCGACATACAGCTCTGTGAGCGCTGGAAGCAGCGGCAGAGACATGACATCGGCGATCTGGTTGCGGTCGGCCCGAAGCACCTAGGGCGTCGTCAGCGGGGCGACATTATTCTGTAGCGCTTCGCACCGACAAGCTTGGCGGGTACACGCCACTCAAGGACGTGAGCTTGTTGCCGCTCACGTTGACCTCGTCTAGCTTCTTCAGACTCTCGATATTGCCAATGCTCGAGAGCAAGTTGTCGCTGACGTTCAAGTACTCGAGCGCGCTGAGCGTTTGCAGTCCCTGTGTGTCGTTGGTGACGACCGTCGTGTCATCAAAACCACGCGCACCGTCGCCAGCGCACCCGCAATGCGGTTGCGACTCAAGTCCAAGTACGTCAGGTGGCGAGCATTCTTGAGGTGTTCGATACGGCTGATGCGATTGCCGTGGAGCTGTAGTGTTTTGAGCTTGAAGAGCGCTGTCAAGTCCTCCGGCAGCGCCTCGATGGCGTTGTCGCTGAGAAGGACAGCCTCGAGATTTTGGTTCCTATTTCCGCTGTCAACACAAGTGGCAAGCTGCTGCTACGCCACCCTTTGAGGCCCGACGCAGACGTGAGCTGGTTGTTGTAGGCTTTGAGCTCGCGTAAGTCCTTTGCCGTGTGGAGATGCTCGAGCTGCGTGAGGCGATTGAACGAGACGTCGAGCGAGTAGAGCTTGGGCATCTAGAGGACACGTCAGCGAGACCTCGCAATGGCGCATGGTCCTACGCCCGAGAGGTCGGCGATCTTCTCGATACCGCGGTGGTGCGCGTCGACCGCAAACTTGCTCGAGTTGTCTTCGGTCACGAGGACGCGCTAGTGGGCAGCCGATGAGCACGACCTATAAGAACGACCACGTACGAGCGCTTCGAGATCGAGTACGCGGAGCGGCGTGGCCATGGTCCCCGTGCGCCGTTTCAGACTGTGTAACCTCCAGGCTAATTGGACCCAATCCGGCGGCGTCCACGTGGCATCCTGCGCATCGTTTGACAATCCACTGTGGTGTGCCACTGTGTGCAGCACGACGCATCCGCGCTCCACGTCACGCGTCGTTGCGTTCAAATAGACTTTGTCCGCACCTTCGCCGCCGTTCACCCGCACCCATCCGGACGCGATCTTGGCGTCACATCATCCGCTTGCAATCCATCACGGTATTGCGGTATTGCGATGGCTGGCCCCGTCCGTTCCCTTGTCCTCGAACCTAGTCGATGACAGATATAGATATATGCTACTTGGTCCACGCATCGAGTCGATAATGATCGTCGAGCCAGCTTTCTCGGATCTTTCCTCGCCGCACGGCTTAGACACTAAGTGCGGCATGCTGGAGCGAGCCAGCGCGTGTACCGGATAATATGCATGTATCCGGATTTCGACGTTTGAATTTTGAAAAAAGGCTCCAAACGGGGTAGGGGAATTCGATTGAAGAAGGGATTAGGGCAAGGTCGAAGGGGGCGGTGACTTGGTTTTTGTATGCCGGACCGAGCTGCAGTCAACCATTGGCTAACTCCACGCGAGGTCTCATTCGTCCGTTTTCTTTGTCGAGCGCAAGCCAAGTCGCCAATCCCAACCTTCGTATAGCCCAGGTACGGCCTTTATTGGCTGCCGCGTTAGCCAATGCGGTGCGTGATAGCCATGGAAGCCCAAGCCACCGCAACGTACGACCCAGCGCAGCTCGCGCTCTACCAGCAGCAGCAGCAGCAGTACCTGCAGATGGTAAGCGACCTCCACCACCTCCTGCGCCGCCGCTCACGCCCGCGCCGCCTTCCTTCTCGCCTTGCGCTCTCTAGATGGTAACGACCCTTCGCCCTCCCAAGTAGACACTCATTGTCTTGTAGCAACAACAACCTAACAACGAACAAGTGCGCTCGATGTACGGCAGTGGCCTCATGATCATGCCGCCCACCTACATGGTACGCGCCTTGCGTTAGCGTTCAGCGAGGCCTGACCGGCGTGGTAGCAAATGCAGTCGCACCCCATGTTCTCGCGCATGCCGTTGCCCGGCGGCGGCGAAATGGTCGAGGAAGAGCCCGTGTACGTCAACGCCAAGCAGTACCACCGCATCATGGTCCGCCGCCAGCAGCGGGCAAAGCTCGAGGCCAAGCTCGG